AAGGTCGCTTTCCAACACAAACCAGTTTGGGATTCTATGCTAGTAAATGCTCATAAAAAGCCATTATTTCCATTAGGACTGAAGCTCTCATGAGTGGACCAAGGTTTTCCAAGGTCCTTCAATACTGCAAGAAGCAGAAGCATTTTATCTTTTCCTATTTCTACCCATTTCCTTCATAAGACATCTTAAAAGTTTTTTGTCAATATGGGAGAAATTTGATGGGAATCTCAGTCATTCTTCCTCCTCTTGGCTCTGCATTTATGCCCCTTTATGCATTTTCTTTCCCCTCTGTGTTTTGGAATCTACCAACAACCCCAAATGCCTTATTAGGGAGGGCACTTCTGTTTCTTATATTAAATGCTTACCATTAATTCAAGTTAATAAGATGCAATGACTTATTTAATATCTCTATCCAGTCTATTTTCTCAGGGGTTAATCATCCACATTTTCCACTCTCAAAGAAATCAATGAGTTAAAATTCTGAGGAATTAAACACTAATAAAGGATAATTTAAAAAAAAACCCAACCCAAATCTTTTGCAGTTCCAAAGTTTCCAGACATTTGATCTCTTTAAACACAGAAGAATAAATAGAAGTGCAGAGCCCTTACCTATATCACAGCCACACAACCCAAAGGTAGCTATAAGTGACCCTGAAGAAGACCCATAGACCTTGGATGCAGATTCCAGTATGTTGGGTGACAATTTCTTCAAAGCAGCCACCACTCCAGCTTCATAGATTAGCAAAGTACTGCAGCCTCGAAACAGGAGAGAGAAAGGTCTCTTATTCTCCTTTCTCTTCATCCCCTCTGCTAACACCAGGCACTCAAGCCACAAGAAAGCTGTTGTCCAGAACAGGTTTGGAGGGCTTTTTTCTATACTTTGCTGCAGCTTTTCCCACCCTGCTTCCTTTTGCTGTCTTATATCTCTCTGATCTCTAAGCTACTCCTCCAGTGAAACAGTGGGCAGAAGGGGATGACGTGATACCTTAATTCCTAAGGCCACTCATTAAAATCAAATGACACCATTGCAATATGTTTCTAAGCTGTGCCCTGGGTAAAAGCTCCAGGCCATGTGGACATTTCACTTTGCACTAAAATGTTGGGAAGCAGCCCAAGGGAGGTCAGCAAGGCCTCAGAAGTGAGTCCTTCAGAGAGAAAAGCTGCTTCTCCATGCTGGTGGGCTGCTCTAGTGGTACCCTGAGGTCCCAGCCTAAGTTCCCAGCCTCTTGGGAGGTAGGAATCAGCAAATATTCTCTGGGATACAAGAGTCTTGCATGATGCTGCTCAAAACTGTCTTGCCCCATTTGTAACAGGTTACCAAACCCCATCCCAGGGAGTGGAGAAGCCAAGATGTTCTCCTCATTTCAGAATTTTAGGGTTGAGTTTGCTTACAAAAGGGTAAAAATACAGAGTCCAGGTGACAACTGGTGGCTTAATCTGCCTCCTGAATGGCTGAGGTTGCAGTAGAGCAACAGGTCAAAAAAGAAGTAAAGTGAGGGGGGGGGAAAGAAGTCTGATAAACAGTGATCTATTGATTATCCATCCAGAAATGAAAAGCCTTCTTAGGCTTGCAGCTAGGCGAGACATTGGGAAACTGCTATGGGGCAAAGCAGCACTGGAAGCTGTGCAAGCAGAAGCAGCTGTAACAGCAAGAACTTGGGCATGGAAACCTACCCAGTGTCTTCAGCTAAAACGGCTTCCAAACCCACCTGGGAGATGCTTCTCTCCCTCTTGCTGTGTGTTGAGGCAGTGCTGGGTGAGTTTTGTGGCTGGATGCAGCCCTGATTTATGCAAGTTGTCTGAGCACCATCAGCACAGTGTTAATCCAGCCCTGGTTCCACATGGGAGCAGTGTATGTCACACCCTGCTCTACCCAGGAGCCGAGCCACTAAGCTGCTTGCACATACCTTGCATGAGCACTACAGATCCCACTGCTGAACTGCAAGGGTGAAAGAGCAAAGAAAAACTGAAGACTCAAGAAGAGAGGAGTCATAGAATCATGGAATGGTTTGGCTTGGAAGGGGCCTTACAGCTCATCCAGCTCCACCCCCCTGCCACGGGCAGGGACACCTTCCACTAGAGCAGGTTGCTCCAAGCCCCTGTGTCCAACCTGGCCTTGAACACTGCCAGGGATGGGGCAGCCACAGCTTCTCTGGGCACCCTGTGCCAGCGCCTCAGCACCCTCACAGGGAAGAGCTTCTTCCTTAGATCTACCTTGAACCTCCCCTGTTTAAGTTTATTCCATGCCTTGTCAAGAGAACAAATGCACTGGCAATAACTTTCCATCTACTCTGTAGTTTAAGGAAGCCCCCAGAACTAACTGCAATGAGAAGAATTGATTCCAGAAGCTGCTCTGTGTTGTTTCTTGGGTGCAAGGGGGATGTGGCATTTGAAACCCACTGATGAGCCACACAAAGGAAGATCTTGAGATTAAGGAAAACTTTGATGCCAGGACAAGGGCAAAAAACCAGAGCCAGCTTTGCCGAAGCAACAGCATTGCCACTGCTCAAGCCCCAGGTTCAAGCCCTCCTCCCCTAAGTCAGCAGCATGGCAGGGAGCTAGAAACGTGACGCAGTATTGCACTGTTGTCCAAACACTGCTGGACAACTGTATTACTCCAACTACAAACCAAACCCACAGATCAGGCCATGTCTTAATCACATCTCTGTATTATTGAGGTAGTTTGTAAATCCATTTGTTTTAATTTCTTACCCAGTCTTGCAGCACCAACAGGTAAATAGTGTTTATACTGGAAAAGCAAGTGTTCACCTGCTTACTCCACTGTGAGCAGACACTGCCTCCTCTCCCTGCCTTTCAAACCCTTGCACTGTCTCTGGTGTCTTCCAAAAGGAGCAGAAGGTAAAGAAACCACCAAAACACGACAGCAAACGTGATTACACAGCCTTGAGTGGGCTTTGTGTCAGTGAGAGGTACCCAGGCCTCCAACACTGGGGTTGGAATGCAGAGGAAATGCAGGTGATTTGAATAGGAGTGACCCAGATGGCATAAA